CGTGTATTTTTATGTTTTTTCAGGCATCTATCTTATGCTTGAGTATTAACTCACATCCATTTAAAGTGAACATTTTTTTCATGATTAGAAGCTTGATTCTACCAAAAGACGACAGCAGACTCTTCTTGGCCAGTCGTCGGTTGCTTAACTGGAGCGTTTTATTTTAGTTTTTTTTACCTTGTTTTCGCAACTCGGTCATATTGACAAGAGGACCTAGAGGAACACACCTTGTCCGGAGTCCATAGTATGCTTGATAATTTCATATCAGATCGTGGACTTGGTACATTCCCAGACGTTTTAGTTGACGCTGCTTCCCTGGCAAACTCACTTGATTCTGTTGGAGACTAGAATGGCTTTGGGGACCGGATAATTTCAACTTAAGCCAGCCAGGCGGAAAGCTAGACATATATGTCCCTGACGCAATCAGATATGATCTGCCGAATGCCCCTCTTTTGTTCACAAAAGGTGCCATTTAATCATTATATTTTATCCTATTTCTTTTCTTCTCATGGACCCATGCATACTTACATGATTATATTTATAGTCCCTGAATGCTCGCCTCCAGTTAGCCGAAGTCCTTGAAAGTATCTCGCCCGAGCGACATTCTCTTCTGCGAACTGGGCCTTTGCCTTCCGTCATAAGTCCCCTCTCCGCCGGTGGTGCAACTGCAAATTACCTCATCCCTGGGCACTACTCCACTAGAAAAAGTCCTATTTTCAAAGACCGGGATCTCCATGGAAATCGTGATCGAGAGACTGTACTTAGAGAGCGTGAGAAGGACAAGGACTCTAGAGAGAAGGAACGCGAACGTGACAAAGACCGAGACCGCGACACTGTTGTCCTCCTGACGCGTGATGGTCTTCAGTCAGCTTCCCGAGGTCTGGTTCTTGGCGTGGACTCATCTAACAACGAATATACGAATCCATCTTTTCTGTTATCATCTTCGCCCGCAACATTGGCAAATGGGGCAATCAGCATAGGCACATACAAGGCGCCATCAGCCTGGGAGATCGACTATCCTCCTCTCTTCGTCGCCTAAGTCTTAGGATTAATGAGAAATTGCGAGGTTAAAAAACTTTTTATGAGCCTCAGCTTAACGCAGCTAAATCTTTCATCTTAGTCAAGTCCCGATTTGGATGAATCGCTTTCTAGTCCATGTAAGAGATATTTTACACTGAATATGCTACTTTACTTG